GATAGGAGAAAGAAGGTACACTGACACAATGTTGGTGGGTCTGTAAATTATTATGACAACTCTGGAAAGCAATGTGCAGATTCCTGAAAAGCCCAAGAGTGGCACTCATAGGACTCAGCTATTACACTCCCTCCCTGCTTGTTTTATAGAACTACAAGTCAGCATACTATAGTGATACAATCACATCAGTGTTTGTAGCATTCACCATAAATACATTGTATGATCAACCCAGATGTCCATCAACAGTTGAAAGAACCAAGTGCACAAAATTAAAAGGTAACTAGATCTTTACTTCTGGAGCTATAGCACTGCTGAATGACTCAAAGCATGTAAATTTGTAAAAGTTAAGTAAAAGAAGAATCAGAACTCTGAATCAACTAGAATCATTATTGCAGAATGGACACAATTTCAGGATTTCCACAGTACCTTCATTGGACTTTTCATTTGGCTCAACACTGTTTGGTGGCCAGAGGCAGACTCCTCTGTACCAAGGCCTGCGTACGTCTTCTGCGTTTGGGGGTTTCTTCCAACATGGGAGGCAATAGCCTGGGAAATATGATAAAACAGAGCTGTTAACAAGATGCTAGCAAGAAAACACAGGGTCATCAATAATAATTCAAATAACAGTTCAACCAGTTTTAATTGATAAGTGATCATTGTAAATATCTGGGGGTATAATTTGAGCTTTGAATTCAAGTATATATTTATACACTAATAGCATGCCCAGAAACTTAAATGTTTCTTCTATTTTTTTGCTCTGTCATTTTCAACAACAAGAGGTGATAATTATGTTATCAGAAATAGGTCTGGGACACAAAGATAAATGCTACATAATATCACTCTTTTGTGGAAACTGAAAAATTGATCATAGAAGGTGAGAGTAGAGTATTAGTTAGCAGAGCAGGGGAGACAATGTTACATTTGAATATTAGGAAAAAAAGTTCTGACGTATTTTTTGCAGTCTGTTAACAGAGTTAAAAATAATAAAATCTAAGTCTCAGGTTGTGGCTCATTTGGAGAGTGCTTGCCTTGCATGTGTGAGGCACGGGGTTTGATTCGGAGCACCACATTTAAATAAATAAATAAATAAAGGTCCATGGATAACTCATAAAAAATTTTAAAAATAACAAAAATTATGTTTAATAAATTTTGAAGGAGGAATTTGAATGTTATTAGAGTTCACACTACTGAGTTCATTTTTCACCATTGGGGCAGCAAAGCACCTGAGTCAGATTGAGCTTTAGGATAACATTGCAATGTGTGAGGTCTACAACCCAACACAATATT